TTGATACTTCAACTTTTACCAGAGTGTTTTTAAACTGCAGTATCTATACTTCTACTTAAGTAACAAATGTGTTTTACTTTTGACACCACTGCTGTTACAAAACATCTGGGAGGGCTAATCACAAAACCTTCTACTCATGTTTCATCCAATCTTCCTTTCTCTTGCTTGAACCTGAAAGAAACTTCTACCAATTTCAATTGATTCCTGCAGACACTAATTGTATGTTGAACAAAGCAGTTTTTCTTCAGTCCAGTTCCTGTGATTTGTTCACAGTTGAGATGCTGGATATTGTCTCTATGTTAAATGGGTGTGTTTTTGCCTGAAACTCCACCATGAGGATCACTTCTGGGAAAGCTTTGTGGACAGTGGTTGAGAGTAAATTGCTCACACTAGTTTTTGCCATTTAACATACTGCTTTAGATCTTTTGATTTTGACAGCAATCAAATTAAAATTTAAAATTAGTTAAACTTTTGCCAAGTCTTTTTTATATTTCTAAGGGGATTCTACATAGAGTATTTCCTTTTTTTGTCAATTGTATGTCTGAGTTTTTACATTATCACGAAGACATGTTGTCCCACTCTCTTCAAACCTGTTTATCCAACAACATTGGATGGTTTTAAAACATAACAATGAGCCTGTTTACGGTCATGATGAAGTCCAGACTTTTGATTGATTGAAGAACTTTTTTTAAGACTCATGAGAGGAAGAAACAAGACATACCCTGGCAAACAGAGGCCACGAAAACAGGCATGGCAAAGCAAATTAGCGTGGGTAAAGCAGGTTTCAAGCATTTAGATATAGAGCGTCATTCCAAAAGCTGGCGAGTGTATAGCTCAAGCATTCCTCGCCTGAAGGTCCAAACCTGTAGACTATACATTATCCTCCAGTGATTTCTGCCTGTGAACAGAATTCAAGGTTCCATCATTTGGAACCAGTCATTGGGGTCCTGAAGGAGAGAAGTGGCCCAGACCACCGATTAACACCACCATGTTTGACTGTAGCTCTAATATTTTATGTCTCAAATTCTGATGTCTTTATGTCGGATGTCATGGAGACACAGCTTCCATTACAGCCCAGTTTTGTCTGCTAGGAATGTAAGTTATCAATTAATAAATTAATCTGAAGTTGATTTGATTCTTTCTGTATCTAACTCTTTTTGTGCAGGGTTGTTAGCTTTCCTAACTCAATCATACAAGCCCTGGTTTTTCTTGATAAAATAAGATTTACCTCTAAAATGTGCTGTCACTGGCATTCATATTTGTATGTATAACAAGCAAGCATTCTGCTCTACTTCTTTTTAAATGTCTTTATTTTTTTTTCTAATACTTTCTATGGACCTGGTTTCTAGAGTTCTTAATAAAGTTTGAATGAGGAACGAATAAATCTCTTGTTTCTAAAGAATCGATCATTTAAAAATCTAAAAATAGTCCGTTATAATGAATTGTTACAGCTTTATTTACCCCTTGACAGCCATTGTTGCTTATATACAACTAACTCCTTGTATTATGTACACAGCCGAGATAACATAGGCGTTCCCTCACTGCCACTTATTACACATTCAGTGTGGACCTACAATAGGAACCTTTCGCAAGCTATTGTTTCTGTTACATCTCAACTGTGAATATATATATATTTATATATTAGTGGTGGGCATAGATTCATTTTTCTAATCTAGACTTTTATCTTGGAATTACTCAAGATAAAAAGTACTAATTTGAATTCTGCCAAAGGGAATCATGTTATGTGTGTGCTACCTCCAGAATTCAAAAGAAAATGTTTGCTTTTTTTGTTTCCAAAATAATACATAATTTCTTCTTCTTACTTCAGATTTTGAAAAAGTTATAAATACTTGTTTTTTTTCCTCATTTGTTACTGTGTTTGTGCTGTAAAAAATAGTGTCCCACTTCCAAATAGAGATGTCCCACTTTGACAATATAGTGTCTCCAAAAAATCGGACACATGTGGCTAGCAACTTGTGGCTATTAGCTGAGCGAGGAGATCAGTTAGCATGGCTGATAGAGCTGTGCTTATAGCTGAACTCATGTCAGTACGTCACGTTCAATGTGGTGATTTCACAGTACGCCTACTACATGGGTTGGACTGATTTGTTTTCACCCTAAGATATACATCTAAGCCTGATACACATCCGCGCTAAAATATCAAGTTAAGTCATAATTTGTTCAATAGTAAACTATGAGAATAGATTAACACAGATATTATATATATAT